CTTATGACCTCAACATTGTCTTTTCTTTAACACAAATCAGACCAATACATCTCACGAAAGTAATTTTAAATAAACCACAGGGGAAACGGGGAGGACCTTTTATTAAAAAAGAGTTAGGCAGACTTTTCAAATGCATTTGAGCACACTAATGTGTTTTGGTGCCATCTCGCAATAAGAACAAATTCATACACTTCAAGAGATAAATGAGGGCTCTAGAGGTTCCTGACTGGATGAATAGTCTCAGGAACAGTCACATAATGATTCTTGCATTGTGTGTTGCCATCAGCTAGGAAAAAAGCATTCAGGAACACAAACTTACTGAATTGCAAGAAATTTTCTAAGGAACAAAGGTTTCCAATCACTGCTGCTCTCAAATAACAAATACAGATAGGAAATGTTTTTTAAACCTGCTATTTGCCCGCTAACTTTCCCTAATAATTTTATAAGCTTTGGCCTACATTACAATTCATGTTCTAAAACAAGAGAACAGTTGTGGGGGGGGGGGAGCTTTCTGAACAATTTTTTCATCAGGTTTGGGAAGTTCAAGTGTAGCAACTCTTTCTGAAAAAAAGTTAAAATCTGGTATGCAGTTCAAATAAACATGCCTACACCACTAGGTAATTAATTACTTTTAAAGGCAGAGAAAAACACAGTTATATTGATCATGTATCATCTTTCACAATTCTGTTACAAAAAACACTAATTAAACTGATATATCAGCCTAACATTGATATAGTAAACTGATGTATCAGTTTAATACATCATCATTATCCAATGGCTTGCTTTTAATAAAGTAGTGCATAGAAAACGCTTTGTGCTTTTAAGTTATACTGCTTGTTTTATCCCTTTCTGAACATACAAAAATCCGACAAATGCACCTAAACCCGGCATTTTTGCCAATAGCGAATATTGCTACCCTGGACAGTTCCTGAAGACAACTGCGTTCAGCAGCAGACATCACTGTTGTTTTTCAAGATAGCCCTGTATCAAGCCTTGAACCCGAGACAGAATAATCTCGTTGGAGCTGCTGCACTCATCTGGGCCGTACGGAGGGTCAATGGTTAATGCCCCTGCCACGCACAGCGTTCTTCCCAAATCACCTTGCTCTGTTACGGGGATGTGGTTTGTTTCCAGCCAAGTCTTCAAGTCGTTCTTCCTCTTTTCAAGTTCCTCGGGGCTGTAGGCTTTGTTTTCTTCAGGTGCAAATATGGCAGAAAGCCGCTGCTTCATTTCATCATCTCCTTCTTTCAGTACTTCCACCTCCTGGACAGCATGGCCCATGACAACCGATATGGACACCTTTTCGTTCTCCAGGAATGTCGCAAGGACAACACTGCCAAGGAAAGAGGGACAAATGACTCACTGCACTTAACTGACAAGGTAACTTCTGGCCTTGAATCTGAAACCGCTCTAGATACTATCAAGCAGAATGTTACTTTTAAAAAAAGCAGAGTGTACATTAAAATCAAGGCTGGTAATCTTAGTATTTTTGTGCAGCCTTCCCAATGTTCCTAAAGAACCTCAAGCCTTCCAACATGCAGAAACAATGACACCTTCAGACAGTCAGCGCTCTGAATGCTGAAGGCAACAGTGGCCACTAACATCAGAACCTTTTAATGACAAATTATTAATATTTAATTATTGATCATTACTGAAAGGATAGTATGTATGTATTTTTTAATAATGTCGCTAGCTTCTTAACTGAAAACTGTAGAGTATTACAATGGGAACACACCACAGCAGCTTCAAGCTCATGCTGTAGCAGCCTGATCTTTTCCCAAAGTCACTTAGATCCTAGAGGTCCTAAAATACAGGTAGGAAGGCAGCTTGCTGTATTTCTAGGATCTCTTCCCATACATCAGCAAAGAGGATCAGAAACCATTTTCTTCCTCCTGCAGGAAGAAAAAGTCCAGAATTTGATGCCCGCACTTTGCCAATCTACTGTTGCCACTGTGAGATGTGTCGGTCTGATTCGTGCTAAAACAATGTGGAGGTCGTGGGGAAGATGGGACCTCTGGGGCTATTTTGGCTGTCCTTGTATGGAGAACAGATTGAGAACAAGTAGAACAGAGTATATAGTTGTGTAAAACCCATAAGGCGCCAGAAAGAAAAACACTCCCTCAGAAGCGAGATAATACCGGTCCTGTGGTTTGAGCAAGAGCCAAGAAATAACTGTGTCTATGCAAGAAGAAAAAGTTAACAGAGGTGACGAAGAGGACATAACAGCCTTCATCCCCTGCAATCCCCCCACGACCACCAGCAAGGGACACTGCGCAGGCGCGGATGGGAGGAGAGCTAATTATAATATGAAGTGGGGATAGGTCATGCATATGTATAAGCATATTGCGAAATCCCACGAATATGTATTAGGTAAAAAATATAAACCCGAAAAGAGACCTGTACGGCGTGCTGCTGAGGGATCAAAATGTCCCCATGCACCCAGCGCTGTTTGCTTGCCTTTACTCACTTAATAAACTGTAAACTTTAATTGGAATCCTGTTTGAGGCTAAATCATTTATCACACCACCATTAGGGGAAGTAATGATGACTTGGGAAATGTGCAGTGAAACATGCCTTTATTTTAGCTTAGGCCATCCCTAGAATCACGCACAGCTCTGCACACCTTTCCTGCCAAAATGATAAGCAACTGCAGGAGAAGACTGGAGCTACTCCAGAGTTGAAGCAACAACTTTCTGAAGCTTCTGAAACACATCTGAAGCTGGATGTTTTCGTTTCTAGCCTCCATCTTGTGCTCATGCAGGACAAGCTCACAACCAAGAAGCTATGAAAAAGTTCTGGCAGCAAGAAGCCAAATTTCTGCCTATTTCCTGGTACGTTCTGTCTTCCAAACCCTGTTTTCAAGTTACTCGCTTGAGACACCGGAGACCTGTGGTACCACTTTCTGTCCAATGTCCCTTGCTGATTTTCCCTGCTTCCTCTCCACAGCAGCCCCTACACCCTCATGGGTGTCTGGCTGAAGTGGAAAGCTGGGCATCGACGTGAGAACTTTGGACAGAGGATAAGGATTTCAACACCTAAAGCATTAAAAAC